GAACCCACCTCTCAACCCTAAAGCCATTACATTACCAATAACTCATATCTACCTATGTGTATCTCTTCTATTCCAGTCTCCTTCCAGCCCCCTCAGAAATAACCTGAATATTGTATCTCTCCTTCCCTTGCCTTAAAAATAGTTTTATCTCATATATATGAATGGATAATATTGCTTAGTTTTACTTATTTTTGAACTTTATAAATTGATATTAAACTATGTGCTATCTTCTGGGACTTGCTTTGTTTATTCAACATTATGTTATTAAGATTTGTCCATTGTGTTTTATGAAGCTACAGTTAATTTTCACTTGAATAATTAATAGAAGCAAGCCAGATAAACGGTAATTAGAAGAGTGCTTCAGGTGGAAAAGTTGCATGTGCTAAGGCCCTGAGATATGAAAAATGGTACTCTTGAGGAACTATATAGAAAGGAGCTCCAGTGACTATGGAGTACTGAGGCTTGGGAGAAGAGTAATTAAAGATGAGTTAGGAGAAGCAGCCAAGGACCAGACTACACAGTACCTGGGCTTTTTATCCTAAGTCATTAGGCAGAGGAATGACATGCTCTGGTTGGCCATTTTAAAAGATTAATCTGGCTACTCATAAAGAATAGACTGAGAAGAAGAGGTAGCAAGAATCCAATTCTGAGGTGAGTGCTATTATTCTCCCCATTTTACAGATGAGAAAACTAAGGCTCAGAGGGAATCAATATATGGACTTAGAGTTTAGAGGTTTGGTTTTGAGACATAGATTTAGGTGTTCATCAGCTTTTAGTCAGAGCCACAGAACTGAATAAGATCATCTAGAGAGAGAACATACATAGAAAATACAAGAGTTAAGGAGAAGCCTTGAAGCACTCTAATATTTAGACTTAGAGGAAGGGAAAATGAGATATTAATACAGAATGATATTGAATGTAAACTGTATTTAAAAATTTAAGAAAAAAGAGATGAAAATGGAGCAGTCAATGAAAAATAATACCACCGATTTATTTTTACACAGAAGCCAAGAAAAAAAAAAAAACTATGTAAAATGTTGCTGAAAAGTAAGGTGAGTTAAGGACTGAAAGTGGTCATTTGATTTAGCAACATGGAGGTGGTCAGTCGCTACTTCCTTAGCCATCTTGAGGAATGCACAGAGGAACTAGAGACAGCATTATTATTGTCTTCTGTCATTTTTTTGTGAAGAAGCTAAAGCTCAGAGGGGTTAGGTAACTTGTCTCATGTAAAACAACTAGAAAATAACAAACTTGGAATTGGAAGTCTTATTCAAAATCTAGTCTTCTTTCCACTACATCACAGCTCTTTTCATGTCTGGCAGGATTTTTGGTTTGCTACATGACTGACAGGTTCCATGTGTACTACAGAACTGAATTAATTTCAATGTGCCTAGAGCGTATAGTATATGCAAAACTCTGTTGTAGTCACTGCAAAAGATTTGAAGATGAAAAAGACAGACTATAATCCCAAGGAACTTTTATAATCTAGTAAAATAATATCTATATAACTATGTTCTAAAACAACGTAGAAGTAATAAAGGCACAGAAAGTGGGGATTTAGGTTAGGTCTGGACCAATGACTTGGTAGAGAAAAGCTTGTTCATCTTCTTACGTACTGCTATATATTTACTATGTGCCTAGCAAAAAGTTGGGCTCAATAAATGCCTGTTATAACAAATATTGAATACCAATTTTTTGGCAGGCACATGATGATTATATAGCAGTAAACAGGAAGTAGACTCTGGCTAGCATAAGTAATAAAAGTAAAAAAAAAGTTAGGGGAATAGATAATATATTAAAAGATAGTGGGATATCTCAGAGTTAAGGGAAGAGTTGACTCAAAAAAGGTAGGAATAAGGTCAACTCTGAGTTTAAGAGGAATTTATGGAACTTCTCTCCAGCTTCTTTGTTGTTAATTCTCACCCTAGGATATTTTCCATTGATTTTTTTTGGTAGAGTGGAAGGGAGAGAGAGAGAAACATTGATATGAGAGGCGCATTGATTGGTTGCCTCCTGCATGACCCCAACCGGGGCCGGGGATCAAACCCACACCCAGGTATGTGCCCTTGACTGGGAATCAAACCCTCGACCCCTTGGTCTGCAGGTCGATGCTCTAACCACCGAGCAAACTGGCCAGGGTTCTTTTCTCCAGCTTTAATGTGACTGCCCCATCTCCCATAACCCCAAACTGTTTCCATTCAAAAGGCCATGTGTTTGGGAGAGAGAAATTAATTGTCCTGGTTGGGTCAGAGATCTTTCCCCTGGAATTAGTTATCATGGCCAATAGGAAAGGTTCACATATCACAGATATCAGACATGGCCATTACAGAACAACCCATGGTTTCAAACCACTTTCAAAGAAGGTTAATCCTTGTTAATTGGACATCTACTACATCGCATATGATATCTACTAAAATCTAATCAAGAGGAATGAGATTAAGGGAATGCATTCACTTTTCCCAGACGGATATTTCAAGCCTTCTCCTGTCATAAGACCTTTCTGACATCAGTAAGCTAAACAACAGAGAATTTATGACACAGAAGTAACCTCTGGAAACCACTAATTCAATCTCATTGTATGGTGAGAAATATGAGGCCCTTGCATGCAGTCTTACATATAGTCACATAGAAAATAAGTGGTAGTACTGGGTTACAGGAAACTTCTGACTTTTAATTCTGTAGGACCTTTATTTACCTATGCTCCACAGTGCTTAGCACTGTTCTGAGAACATAACCATGATATCTTTGAAACTTTTCCATGATATCATGCTCAGGTATAGGTAGCAACCTAGCAAGAGTTATCTGTCATCCATGGCCAGAAGTCCAGATAATTTGGCTAAACTGAGTAAGTTTTATGATCAGGCAGATAGCTGAGTTAGAATACACAATGGATAAACAATCAAGGACATGCCCGTGACAGCTTAAGATAGGCCTAGAAAACAGTATTCTTATCCTCCTGAGTTTTCTTGAGGCGAACAGCCCTAGATCCTTTCATTGGAAAAGGAAGTGACTGCTTCATATGACTTGTATGAAGGTCATTGCTTACAGAATTGCTCAAACTACCCTTTGAGCTTTATGGAATAAATATCCCTACTTATAGCTGCTTCCCTTCATCTTTAACCAATTAACATCCAGAAAACTGGGATGTCTGCTCTTCCCAATATCATGACTGACCAGAAGTTTACTTTAGGAAATGCAGTGTAGTGGGAATTTGTGTATATCTGGAGCTATATTACCTGGGTTCAAACCCCCAGTTTTACCATTTCCTAAGGATGTGATTTTTGGCAAATCATTGTATCTCCATGGGCTTTTGTTTTCTCATCTGTAAAGTGAGACTAATAATACCTACTTCCCAGGGAGGTTGTGAGAATAAAATTAGTTAATACATCCTTGGGGGCATGAGCAAGTATATATAGATATTGTGACTCCAAATTAAGAAACACATCTAGAGATAAAGATGCTGTTAGTTCAGAGGACCAGGCCCTCAAGAACTATGTTCCCTAGCAGTGACTTGACAAAACCAAGGACACTTAAGTTAACCACCAACAATCAGCTGAAAACCCTAAAAGCCAATATAAAAATACATTGCCACTGGGTCACTGCTCCAAATACCATTGCTAACTCTGCTCACAGGCAAGGTATCCAGACGGATATTCTAAGGGAGAATAGATGGGGCAAGTGATTCATAACAGGTGCATCTCTCTTTGCTATCTTATCTTCTGGTTTGGTCGTTGTTTAAAAAGTGATAACACCCAGATACACCCCAGAAGATACTATCTTCTATCATTCTTTCAACAAATATTAACAGAGCCCCTACTATATGGCAGCCACTGTTCAGTATGCTGAATTTACAGCAGAGAACAAACAGATGAAGCGTCTGCTCTTACTGAGTGGGAGAGATACTTTAAGACAGAAGCAAACACACATATGAAATTGTTTTAGGTTGTGATAAAAACAAAATGGGATAAGGTCACAGAGAGTGCCTAGGAGTCACTTTAATTTGGGTGGTCAGGGAAAGCTTCCCTGAGATCGAAATGATATTGGAGCCCACCAATGGTTGAACCAGACAGAAACAAAAGGAAGTGCAAAGTCCTTGAGGTCAGACAGATCAGCATATTTGAATAAAAGGAAGATCAGTATGGCTAGTAGAGAGTGAACAAGGTTTTTTAAATCAAGTCAAAAAGGTAGGCAGGGGCTGGATCTAAAGATAGTGGCTGGGCCAGGGTGGTAGTAGCAGGAATGGTGACAAGTAGTCAGATTCCAGACATATTTTTAAGACAGAGCCAACAGGATTTCTTGAAGAGTTGGATGTCAAGGATGGCTCAATGATTTTTGCTCTAAGCAACCAGGTGTTGCCATCACCTGGAATGGAGAATGCTATTACATATAATTTCTGTTGGATCATTCTGGAGTTCCACTAACTGTGGATGGCACCTCAAGGCCCTTCTCTGCCTACTTATGGAATAGGGTGGTGGTGTGGGACTACTGTTTTGGATGAGTTAATTAGAGGCATGGAGCACATTTTTGGGAATCCCTACCCCTATTGTGGTCTAAAATGTAGAGATTTACACAGATGAGATTTAGAGAAGACTGAGTATATCGAGTCAGGCCAAACCGAGAGGCCACAGGGACAGGGGATCTGCTATAGGCACTTCAGTCCAAAAACTATTAGGAATTGGGGTGAGCCAGAGAGGGCGCTGCAGAAACTTTCGTGGCTATCTGGCAGGCTAGGGAACCACTTTTTTTTTTTTTTTTTAAACCAGAAACAAAGTAAAGAAAAGAGATGGGGTTGAGTATGGCGTGGCCTGGCCGGCCCGGAAGGACTTTGGGTGGAGCGGACGGTGAAAGCTTCAGGGCAGCGGGGGAGGGGAAGCCTCCGCTAGCAACTAACCTCAGCTTCCTAAACTCAAAAGAAAGGTCAGAGGAATTTTTGGAAAGGCCAGGAGCCCCGGGATTCGGTCTGCCCACCAAAGAGGGACGAAAATCCAAGTTGTGCGATGCAGCTTTAAAGGGGCTGGTGATTGACAGAATGTGTAGCAGTGGATGGGGTGGAGCCGCTGGGTGGGGTCTGGGACCGGCAGCTGGGAGAAACCAAAAGGAAGAAAAAAGAAAACCATTGCCCCCGATATCGCTAATGCCGGGCGGGGAAAGCTAGTCAGAAAGGGAGGAAAAGGAGGATTTTAGAGCTCACCTCCACTCCCACCCACGGTCAACTCTCTCAAAACCTTCTGTCTCCTTTGGAGATAATTAAAATCGAGTATACACCGGCCCTCGTCGGTGCCCATTACCTCTAACTCTCCACTGAACTAGGTTTGCAGTACGAGGGAGTGAGGACCCCGAGTCCATCAGCTCAAACCCAGCCCCGCCCCGTCCGTTGGCCCTGGCCCCAGGCTGGGAGGAGAGGATGCCTTCGGAGGCGCAGAATCCGAAAGTAAGTCCTTTTCATTTTGCCTACCCACCCCCTTCCCTCCCTTTTGCCCCCCTCACTGGGGTGTCCGCTGGGTGGCAAAGGAGCCACCTTATAGAAGGAGACTCTTTCAAGGAGGATCCGGAGGGTGGAGCAGGGTGGGGTAAGAAAGGGAGGGAAGGGGAGGAGGGGTGGTGCTAGGGGAGCTGCCACCCACGGAATAGGCGCGCTCAGAGTTTGATGTTTGTATGGTTAGAGCCTCGATTTCCCCTCAGGTCATTAGAACCTCGACTTACCCCCTCCAGTTGTTCTTTCTTTTTGTCACACTCCAGCATCCTTATCAGGTTGCTTAAAGCCTCTGGCTGTGAGTTGGGAGGGCTCCATCTTGCCTGGCTTCTTAAAGGGACAGTGCACTAGTTCAACTGAGGGAGATCTGTACTGGAAATTCAATTTCGAGAAGGACAGCAGTGACTCGCCTTACTATGACACTATGAGTGTTGGGGATATTTGTATGGAAAGGGTAGCTTTTTCTCCTTTGTACCAACCTCTAAACTTGGTTCTAATATCCAGATGATTCTCAGGATATGCTCCCTTAAGTTGCACATTAGTTAACTGCAGTTAATTAGCAGTTTTAGCTGAATGGAAAATTTTCTGTTTCCTAGGAGGTGTCATGGCAGTGCAGATGACTTGAAAAAGTTAATTTATTATACAAATATTTATTGAATGCTAAATTCATTGCCTGTGGCTGATCCCAGTGCTGAGTGGTGTCTCTACTAACCACACTGATCTTTTTATTCCAATATGCTGATCTGTCTGACCTCAGGGACTTTGCACTTCCTTTTATTTCTATCTAGTTCTACCTATGGTGGGCTTCAATTCGATCTCAGAGAAGCTTTCCCTGACCACCCAAATGAAAGATCATGTAGAATGGTGTCACTGACTTTCTTAACAGATTGGTGGTCAAGGTTTCTTCTTAGGATATAGTGATGTATGTTGAATTTGATTCCAACATTTACCAAGCATCCATCATGTGAAAGTTCCAATGGTTCCCATTTATTGTCTTTCCTTTAGTACCAGGCATCCATATGCCCAAGCCCAGGTGGCTGGGAAATATAGCTTGAAGAGATAAGAACTCAAGTTAGAATGGCAGGCAAAAGGAGAAGGGTGGTATTTTTCAATAGGGAAGCTAAGGCCACCTTGGATGATCTGCCATTTCCATGTCCATGTCCGGTCAGCAAAATTGTGTCGGGGAAAAGGGCTTTACCAGCTCCCTTCTGATGTTCAATAAAATAACTGTTGTGGTGTATACTTGTTAGAAGGTCTCAGATGGATCAGTGACATCTCTTTCATGTTTGTCTCTCTTATCTTTCTGCTTAGGGAGGGTGGCAGGACTGGGTGGAGACTAATGATATCCCACAGGTTAAAGAGAGGAAAACGTGTTGTTTGAGGTTTTAGGGCTAGTATTTCACTCTGAAAGTTTCTCTTTGGTCGATGGAATGCCACAGCTCCCAGTGCTCTGCAATTTACCAGTTCAGCTGTCTCTGGTATTAAATGCAAGTCACAGAGCCCCTCCCTTCTTTATGTGTTGGGTTTCATTGCATCCCCAGTGCCAACTCCCATCAAGGGCATGTGTTAGTTCTAGGTTCCTAGGCAACATTTAACTAAAGAACCTTCCTCCATCCCCTCTCTCCTCAATTGATTTTCCAAACTGCAAAGCGACCTTATTCTGAATGGCCATATCATTGAGTTTACTAGATTCAGATAAAAAAGAAAGCCTCACTTATGGTTATTTCTCTCTAAAGTCACTGGCCTATAGGCTCCTAAAAACAAAGGAAACATGAATTCAACTGGAACTCTTCTGGTTACTTTCATCAGTGGCAGTTCAGTCTTGTCTCAGAGCCAAGAACCACTTGTACATGTCACACCCACTGAAGTCTGCTATCCACACCCTTGCATGGAGGGTGGAGAAGGAACTATGTATTGGTACCACAGCCAGCAGTTGGTATGCATGGAATATGTTAGAAACAGCTATGCTTCCATTTTAACATTTGATTGTCCTTTTGTGTTTGTATTGTTTTTTTCCTTTGGGAAAATTTCTAGTTGTAGGATATGAGAACTAGGCAGTTCTTAGCTGTTATAAAATACCATTGCTGAAATATGGTTATTTTCTTCCTAGGACAATGAAAGGTTTGTGAACCCACTAACAAGTACCACAGGCAAGCAATAGAAATCCCTTTCCAAGGGCTTCGAGTGGCTTCCCCAGAGCAATTTAAATTGTTTGCTGTCATTCATTCTGCTTCCCTGGATTGCGGAGAATTTCTATCTACTTGGAGGCAAAAGGGTTTCATGAGGGATAATTGTAAAAAGGACACTTTGTGCTCTCTCTCTGTAGTTGAGAGTAGAAGTAGAAGTAGTTTTGACCCCCAAGTTCCCTTCTCAAATGCCTGTATCTGTTGGACTAAGCTGTTCTTGCCTAGACTAGAACAGCTTGCCCTGACATTTACTTTGGTATGAGTTTCTTCTTAGTTGTTGCTCAGCCTTCAAGGGTAAGGAGCTGTGATAAATAAAGGTATCGATACAAAAGTTCTTTATATTATGATATTCTTTAATTAATTAATAGAACAAATACTTAGTAAGAATGTACTCTGTGCCATCACTGCACAGACAGGGGAATTTTAGCAACGAACGAAACAAAGCCCCTGCCTTTTTGGAGATTATATTCTAATGAGGGTGTGTTGGTAGAGCGGAAAGCCAATAAACAATAAAGGTATTCTTTGGGTGGGGATAAGGTGGGAGAAAATATATAAGGCACTTGGGATTGGGGAGATATATTTAATATAGAGCAGTTAAAGAAAATTTCTCTTATATGATGATGTTTAAAAAGATATCTGAATGAAGTGAGAGAGCCAGCCGTGAGAATACCTGAGATAATGGTGTTCTAGACACAGGAAATAGAATGTGCAAAGGCTTGGTGTGTTCAAGGAATAGCAAGAAGGCCAGTATTACTGGAGTGGAGAGGAAGACAGTGGTAGGACATGTGGTCAGAGAGACAGAGAGGGTCTGATCATATAGAACCTTATAAAGATTGTGGCTTTTATTCTGAGTAAGATAGGAAGCCATTTTTAAATTTTATTTATTTATTCTTTTATCCTCATCTGAGGACATTTTACCATTTTTTGTTCAGATAGAGTGGGAGGGAGAGAGAGAGATAAACATCGACGTGAAAGGGACACATCGAGTGGCTGCCTCCCACATGACCCAACCAGGGCCAGGGACAAACTGCAACCGAGGTACGTGCCCTTAGTAGGAACCGAACCTGGGTCTCTCTGGACCGCAGGCTGATGCTCTAACCACTGAGCAAAACTGGCCAGGGCAGGAAGACATTTTTAAGGAAAATAAATAATCAACAATTATTTTCCTTAAAATTCCACTCTGGTAAGGAAGATGAATCTTCAATTGTTCATTTTAACACAATCAACATGGTTTATGTTTTTATGCTTTGGATAGAGTGTTTCTTTAAAGAAAAAACTTAGTAAGCTTATTGCTGAATTCATGTCAACTAATACAATTTAATTTGATACTAACCATTGTTTTTTTTTTATTGATTAAATAGTTACAGATGATTCTCCTTTTTTCCCCCACTGATTCTCCCCTCCCTCTCCCCTCCCTGCCCCTTCCCCAGATTGTTGTCCATGTCCACTGTTCATGCATACATGCGTATAAGTTCTGTGGTTCATCCCTCCCCCACCTCCCCACTCCTTAGGGGATTGTCAGTCTGTACCCCGCTTCTGCGTCTCTGGGACTACCCCGTTCCTCAAACTGTTATGTTCATTATATTCCACAAATAAGTGAGATCATATGAAATTTGTCTTTTACTGTTTGGCTTCTTTCACTTAGGATGATACTTTCCAGGTCCCTCCATGTAGTCTCAAAGGATAAGAGATCTTTCTTTCTTACCGCTGCGTAGTACTCCATTGTGTATATGTACCACAGCTTTTTGATCCATTCGTCTACTGATGGGCACTTGGGCTGTTTCCAGATCTTAGCGATTGTAAATAGTGCTGCTACAAAGATGGGGGTACATATATTCTTTCTGATTGGTGTTTTATGCTTCTTAGGGTATATTCCTAGAAGTGGGATCACTGGGTCAAATGGAAGATCAATTTTTAATTTTTTGAGGTGACACCATATTGTTTTCCATAGTGGCTGCACCAGTCTGCATTCCCACCAGCAGTGTACTAGAGTCCCCTTTTCTCCACACCCTCACCAACACTTGTTGTTTGATGATTTGTTGATGGCGGCCATTCTGACAGGTGTGAGGTGATACCTCATTCTTGTTTTGAATTGCATCTCTCTGATGATTAGTGATGTGGAGCATTTCTTCATATGTTTCTTAGCCATTTGTATGTGCTGTTTGGAGAGGTGTCTATTTAGTTCCTCTGCCCATTTTTTAATTGGATTCTTTGTCTTCCTTTTGTGGAGTTGTATGAGCACTCTATATGTATTGGAAATTAACCCCTTATCTGATATATCATTGGCAATGATGCTCTCCCATACAGTGGGTAGCCTTTCCGTTTTGATGATTGTATCTTTCGCTGTGCAGAAGCTTTTGAGTTTGATGTATTCCCGTGTGTTCATTTTCTCCTTTGTTTCTATTGCCTTAGGTGATGTGTCAGTAAAAATTCTGCTGCGTATGATGTCTGAGATTTTGTTGCCCACAGTCTCCTCTAGGATTTTTATGGATTCATGAGTTACATTTAAGTCTTTTATCCATTTTGAGTTTATTTTGGTGTAGGGTGTAAGTTGATGGTCTAGTTTCATTTTTCTGCAAGTAGCTGTCCAATTTTCCCAGCACCATTTATTAAAGAGGCTGTCCTTACTCCACTGTATGCTCTTGCCACCTTTGTCAAATATTAATTGAGCATATTGCCTTGGGTCCATTTCTGGGTTCTCTATTCTGTTCCACTGGTCTATATACCTGTTCTTGTGCCAGTACCAGGCTGTTTTGATTACAGTGGCTTTGTAGTATAACCTGAAATCTGGTATTGTGATGCCTCCAACTTTGTTCTTCCTTTTCAAGATTGCTGTGGCTATTCGAGGCCTTTTTGGTTCCATATGAACTTTTGAAGTAATTGTTCTAATTCTGTGAAGTATGCCGTTGGTATTTTGATGGGGATTGTGTTGAATCTATATATTACTTTGGGTAATATGGACATTTTAATGATGTTAATTCTCCCAATCCATGAACAGGGTATGTGCTTCCACTTTTTTATATCTTGCTCTATTTCTTTTTTCAAAGACCTGTAGTTTTCTGCGAATAGGTCCTTTATTTCTTTGACTAACCATTGTTTTATAACATAATATCTGAAAAAAGTTTCAAACACATTTGAAACTACTTAAATATAAAAAATATTTTCAATATAAATTACAATAAATGTATTAGCACTAGACGAATGTTTAACCTTTCAAAGAAAACATTACAAGATTTTGTAGCAGTGTTTTACTCTATCATGAAATTGTGAAAATTATTCACTTGGGACTTTTTTTGTTTTAACTTTCAGTCTTATTGGCACACATGATTTCTTCTAAACTATTCACTGTCCTTTTCCCCAAGTCCTTCACAGTGGGGAAGTATGTTTCACATATCATTTTATTTAATCCTCACAATAATGTTGTGAGGTAGGCATTATTATCATCTCCATTTCATAGCAAGGAAACTGAGGCACAGAAAAGTAAAGTTTCTTACCCAAGGTCACACAGCTATTAAGTGGAAGAGGATCCATGTTCTCCTATACTTTCTAAGAAGTTGTTCCATCAGCTTTCTTCTCTCCTGTCTTTAATTTCTTTTTCTTCTTTGGTTCGCTCACCCATCTAACCATTCCCACTTAATATTTAGTATATAATTAAAATTTATTGAAGACTTACTCTGTATCCAGCTCTCTGTTGAACACTTTACATGTATCAATTCATATAATACAACATTCCCATTCAGTAAATACTACTATTTCTCCCATTTTTCATTTAGGGAAATAGAGGCACAGAAAAATCAAGCTATTGTAAATAATGCTGCAGTGAACATAGGGTTGCATATAGTCTTTCAAATTTGCGTTTCAGGTTTCTTTGGATAAATTCCCAGAAGTGGAATCACTGGGTCATAAGGCAGTAACTTTTTAAAAATGTTATTAGGTTTTTTTTTGTTGTTGTTGTTTTT